CTGACATTTGAAATGCAATGCTCTAGGATCACTGTGAGGTAAATAACACTACTCTAAACATAATATCATTTTCATTCCATAATATTTATAAATATTTGATAAAATAATTTGTTTCAAAATATTTGTTACATTTGTGATTTTAAAGAGTAATAAATATTTTTTTATATATTTATCATTTGTATATAACTGATAATTATTACTTTAATTTAATAATTTTTTAATAAAAATTTCTTTTCTAGATCACTTGATCATTTGATTATATAAACTGATAAATTCATTTACTTTAATTCAATAATTTTTTAAAAAAATTAATATTAAAGATTAAAATAATATTATAATTAATTTTATTGGAATGTCTTATATTATTTAAATAAATTTCAGTAGATTTTTCAAAAGATGCGAAGTGTCTACTGAATATGAACAAAGTATGGAACCGATAATAGACATTAGGTATCTTTCTTGCTTTAATGGTTTATTGGAATAATTAAAAATAATATAATTAATTTATTTAATAATTTATTATTATTTAAATAAATTTAGTAGTTTTTCAAAAGATGCGAAGTTCTGAATATGAAAAGTATGGGACCGAAATAGAATTAGGTATCTTTCTTGCTTTAATGGTTTATTGGAATTCACAATTCACAATTTTACAGACAACACAAATTTCAGAGAACCTAAAAATACACACCTCTGGCTATTACCTCTCCGTTCTCCAAGAAAATTAGAAAAAGCTGCTTTTATCTGCCGCAAAGCCGAGATCTCACAAAACCCACTTGTGGGTCTCATCTTCCGAGAAATTGGCATTGCGATGCGAGCCACATTGTGACGTACCATCTCTGTTCCTCAGTATTTTCTTTTTAATTCAAAATATAAATAGTTTGAGATTTTACCTAAAAGATAATTAATTTTTTAAATTATAATAAATTCAAAAATACTTTAATTAAGTTATATTTTCTTAAATTAATAGTTATTTATACATTATTTATTATATTTAGTGTATGAGAGATAATATCAAAAAAATATCATTAATTATTTTTTAAAATATATAAAATTAACTTATATTTAAGACCAAAATAATAAATTAAGATCGATTTATATTTTGAAAATAGATGAGAGTATTATATTTAAATATACGGATATTCTATTTACCTTTCATTTTATTTATAGCTAAGTCTGCAGTGATGCCAAGTTGTTGGTATTTTGAGATAATTTCTCTTTATGTTGTTTTAAGTCTAATTTTGTCATTTTTATACCTTATAAAATTGATGCATCGCACTACCTATAAACGTCTATGTAAGACCTGAATATATAATTTTAAACGTCATTTTTTCATTTTATCCTCAACTTGTGATTTAATTAAATCCTATAATTATTCTTATTTTTTCATTTTAAATGTTATTATTAGTCCGTACTAATTTTCTTTATATTGTTTTAAATCTATTTCTTTCTTTTTAACACCTTTACTATTGATGTATTACACTTTCGAAACAAAATTAAATTATCCCGAGTTGTGATTGTAATTAGGAGATTATAATTATATCATTATTTCACTAAGAATTGAAATCAAATTATCTTTTTTACAAAAACTTTCATTATATAAAATAAAAAAAGAAGAAATTAAGATGTAAATGACTGAAAAGGATACTGCAATGTTATTAAACTATCACTATCAGCAGATGTGGCCATTTTCTGGGTTTTGAAACTGGAACGGCCAGTTCGGAATCAGTGAGAACCGCGAGGAACTAGAATTGGTCTGAGCCAGAACTGGAATTAGGGATCTGCAGTTCGGTTCTAGTTTTATCTTTTGAGGAATTATAAATCGGTGGATTTTCTAACCGGTTAAAATTGACAGTTTCGAAAAAACCACAGGTTCCGACGGTTCGAACAGGCGGTTCCACCCGGTTTCAATAATTTTTTTATTTTTTCAAATATTTTTGTGAAATCTCAAAATTAACCCTCATAACAACTATATAACAGCTAGTTTTAAGGGTAGTTGTGGAAAATTAATTTTTTAGATTTACTATAAATACCTCATTGCATTTAAAAAAATAAATTAAATTCAAGCCCTTTTTCTAAAAAAAAGCTCAAACCTTTTTTTTAATAAATAAATTAAGTTAAGCCTTTTTCAATTTTTTTCTTTAAGTTCATAAATATTTAAATTTTAAAATTTCAAAAAAAAAATAGTCTAACTTTTGATTTTATAATGTCAATAAATTAATACGAGAATCGACCGGAACCGTTGATTTAAAACCCTAAAAGAACTGAAATTAGAACCGTAATCATTCGATTCCAAATTATAATTAAAATCGTCAAATTTTATTTCGATTTTAATTTTAAATTTTTAAAAACCAGAATCATCAGTTACGGAACCGACCATTTCCGAACCTGACCACCCTTAACTATCAGTATAAAATAATAATAATAATAAAATAAAAAAAGAAAGAAAAAAAAATATACATTACAAGTAGTGGACCTATAATCTAGTGTAGCCTCAGCCTTGAAGTCCCTATATATATTTATTTATTGATTGGGGCTTAAGATGTGGTCCTTAGAAAATGCTATCTTTGGACCCACTGCCACACATGGCTGACACTGTGAATTGTACAGTCTGGGCTCTTTTCACACGTCTCTCAGTCTCTTCATTTATAATTATCATATAATAATTATAAAATAATCAAGAAGATTAGGGATATGTCCTGAGCCCAAGAAGCAAGAAACCATTATTCATTCAGTTAATTAATAGATTATATATTTTCTGTTGTAGAAATGTTTCCATCAACTTCTAGCACATGCAATAAGTGGGGGAAAACATCTTTTTGTCCCGTTTTACTCCGTGGTTCGACAACACATATTAAAAATTTAGACGATAAAAATTATTTTGTTATTTTTTATTTTTAATTTATTAAAATATTGTCTCTCATTTTATAACTTATCATTATTAATAATTGATAAAATAATCAAGAAGCATAGGGATATGTCGCTGAGCCAAGAAAGCAAGAACACCATTATTCATTCATTAATTAATAGGATTATATTATTTTCTGTCTGTAGAAAATGTTATCCATCAACTTTCTAGCACATGCGAATAAGTTGGGAAAACAGTCTATCTTTTCCCGTTTTACTCCGTGCAGTTCGACCAACACATATTAAATAAAATTTAGACGATAAAAAATTATTTTCGTTATTTTTATGTTTTAATTATTAAAATATTATTAAATTTTTTTCATAAAATTAATTATAAAAATTATTATAAAAAAAATAGATTATTTTATATTTATTAAGTTTTAAAAAATTGTATATAAATTATTTTGAAACATACTTTAAAACAAAGACAAGACAGTCGGAAATCAATCCGGAACGGGAATAATACTTTTTCTTTTGCATGGTATATAAGTAAGTATCTTTGATTCCCGGTTGATTCTTGAGGCTAAAGATAAAGAGGGCCGCATAATAATTATAAAAAAATAATTATTTTTATATTTATAATTAAAAATTATATAAATATTTTGAAACATCTAAAAAAGAAAGACAGTCGAAACAAATCGGAACGGAATAGATACTTTTCTTTTGCATGTATATAAGTAAGTTCTTTATTCCCAGTTGATTCTTGAGGCTAAAGATAAAAGGGCCAAATATATAAATTTGTCCCTAAAATTTACATAATTTATCTTATGACACTTTTAATTTTACGGGGATCTATTATTATCCTACAATTTCATATTCCAATAATAATTATATCCCTTATCAAAATAAAATATAAAGGTGGAGAATCATAATTAAACTCTTCTAAAATTATTTTTTTTCAATAAAAGACATAATTATTATTAAAATTTAAAAATATAGAGTCATGATAAATTCGCGGAAAAATTAGTGCCATAAAACAAATCTGGTATATTTCAGCGGAAAATTTATACATCAGGCTAAAGATAAAGATCATGTCATTTTCTTGCATCAAAGAAAATGCAGAAATGAGGTAGTTTCTTGAAAAGTGGGATTCGTTTTGTACTATTTGGGCAATTGTTGAAGAGGGGAGTGGGGCTATTTCAGCACTCATCAGTCAAGTCAAAATTATTACATCACTAATTTATGGCCTATAGCCACCTCCAAAATGAATGGACTGAAGTGAACTTCTAGTATTACATATGTTCCCCTCCAATACCTTTTTTTAAATTCTCTTTAATGTTGATATTATTTATAGTTTTTTAATTAAAATATACTTAATATCAAAATGAATTATACTTAAAATTAATTCTTGGATCCATAGACCTAAGACATAAGAAGTGTGTTTTTAAATTTAGGTAAGACATTCTAATTTAAAAATATTAATAAAGATTAAGGTACAATTTCATTAATATGAATATTGATTAAGATAAACTAAGCTACCACTATATCAATGAAAATAATGATTATATATATATACATAATGATTTACCTTTAAGGTAAAAAAGAAATATGATAGCATGTGAAAATGGACATGATACGTTTGTTTCATTGTCAAAATGATATTTTTCTGTTTTAGAAAATTATGAAATGCTTCAAATTTTGCTTTGAATTCAAATGATGTATCCATGTCAGGAGGTGGTTATTGTTTGGTAATAAAATATGAGGTGCACATATGAGATGGTATGCAAAATTATTAAAGAAAAAAAATACATATATCTTTAATATATAGCAGTTGGTAAGCTGTTTGATTGGACTGATGATCTCATAAATAATGGGGCCTATTTTCTGGTCCCCTATCAATCAAAACCAACCAAAATTCATCAAAAACCATAATCTACCAATTGTTCTTGATCTTGATTCTAGACCTTGACTTTGAAAAATTCATCAGAATATTTTACTCAAAAGAGGGAAGAGGTCTACAAAATCATGTCACAAGTCACCATCTTCCCAACTATGCTGTGGTCAATTGCTTAAAATCCAAAAAACCTATATTCATTGTTTGACAAGCAATAAGCGAAACTTGAAATCAAGCAACTACCATTCCAACCCAAAATGGCTGCATCAACTTGCAATTCAATTAAAAATAATAAAAATTTTACTATCATATTTCAAATAAACGTAACAATTTTCTAAGCAGCCATAGGCCTCAGTCAAGTTAATAAAAACATTATTCAAATCGATCCGAGATCTTTCTTGGATAAACTCTTGAACAATATCTCATAAGTAAACAGCAGGGATCATCTATACTCGAGTAACTTACAAAATGGATAGTGTGAATTTAGAGCTCAGACCCTTTGCAGCTGAAACTCCGGCATACTCATTTTGTTAAGGATAACCTGCAAAGAACATTGAAAATATCCAGTAAAAAATTCTTAGTCTTCAATATGCATACTTCAACATGGATAGTAAAACCTAAATTGATGTGGATGCTGGTCTCCAGGAAACATATATATGAGTAGATTATATTTTTTTGACTTTTTCTTTTTGAATAGGTTATGGCTCATTAATATGATGGCTTGACTGGAAACATTGGCTGCTTGAAATAACTACTTGCACATATGATAGTAAAAGGCTACTGATTTTAACAAAATTCCTTGCATGCAAAATGTAAAAGCTGACTTCAAACACAGCGAAAGCAGCCAAATCACCACTTGGAATATCCATCCGCAAAATTACTCAGGTTGTTTATTTCGCTCCAACATCAGTCAGGAATACACTGCCAGAATCACACCATCCTCCCAGTATATCCCTGTTTGTGCACTGCAGCAAAGAACTAACATTATAAACCTGTGAGAAAGACACGTTCTACTAAAACTAACACAGGATCTATCAACTGATGGAGAGTTAATATGATGTAAGTCCAACCTAACTGACAGAATAGCAAAAACTTATAATTCTATATCATATTAGATGAGCAGTAAAAATTATTAGAAGGTCAGGGCTTTCCAGATTTTTATTTCAGGACAGTGCTTTGCCAGAATTATAATTGGGTGATGGCCTTTCCATGTCAAACACTTTAATCGCTGTGTTTTCCTTTTCCATTTTATCATCCTTCATCAGAAATTCAAAATTCAATTTCTAAAACAGAGAATCGCGTTTAATACATGAATGCTTCAGTTGAGAACCAATGTTTATTTTACTAGGTTTGGTTACTAAATCAACTTATTCAACCTCTTGCAAAGAAGTACAGAAATTATTATTCAACCAAATGAATCCAAATTCACAACCCCAGGCACAGTATTGGGTTCATGCTTGCAACAGATTAGTGTATGTGCACATATTGCCAATGGGCATGTCAACATGGTTTTACACAGAATTTCACAACTAATACCTTACTGAACCCAAGCCAGTTTGAGTCTCCTCTAAATGAAAAAGCTTTATCACATTCTCTCCACTGTCCACAAAATACCTGAAAATAGACATTGATTAATCCAATAGGTCTTGAAACGCAAGCATATATCGAGAGATTCATACAAGTTAAGACAATATAGAAAGATCCCTCTGAATTATTTGGCATCTAAACATCACAGAGAGTCTATAATATGAAGTTACTATGCTCAACAACTGAAATGTAAATGTGCTTTTAATGGTTCAACATCGCTCAACACTTGAAATGTAAATGTAGTTTTCATGGTTCAACATAGCTCAACACTTGAAATGTAAATGCACTTTTCATGGTTCAACATCTAGACACTGAAAAACAAAACTAAAAAAAGCATCCTTTTATGTTACTACATGACATCTGTATGCCATTCAGTTGAGAGAAGAATGCCCCTTGTCATATTTGAGAGAAGAATTTAAATTACTAGAACAGCTTATTTAATCTAAATTTCTTCTCAAGAGTAAGTTTAGTGACTGAAAGAAGAGCAATTAGAACTAGATCAAAATTAATTGACATCTCCACTCTACTGACCCAAACAACCAAATTGAATTTTGAAGACAGAAAGTGGAAGACAATCTGAATCTGTAATTATCAAGCAAGAGATGCACGAATGAGGAAAACGAGATTTGTTTTGATTGCTTCTGAAGTATCACCTCATAGTCAATGCCTTGAATATAGATGTAATTAGGGTCCATTGATGAGAATGCAAGTCCAGTTATCTGCAAAATTAAGCTAAAATATTAAACCCAAAGGAGATACTGTTGCCTGGTACTTCAGAAGAAGAAATGTCAATTTCATAGTAGTACATTAATAGAGATCAAAACATATAACTAAAAACCTCTCAAACCCTCTCTTATCCCTTGCTTGGTATAAAATAATTTGAAGTATAGATTGTATCATTTGTATGATAAAATTTGCTTTATATTGAATTCTATAAAATTAAACTCATAAGAGTAAAATGAACATTTTCATTCATAATAAGAAGTCCAAATGAACTCCACAAAATTTCATGAAATTCATTCATTACCAAACAAGGGCTTAATCTTAACAGTCCCATCATATTGTTTTTTTGATAAGAACAACACACCTCATACAGGATAACCTAATCATAAAAATTCAAACCGGGGAGATAAAGAGAACAAAAGAATGATGTAGAAAAATCAGCTTTTCATTGGCAAAATCAAAAAACTATAAAATAACAACTTCTGAAAAATGCCTCTAAACTACAGTAAATTTTTTCAAAAATAACTTTTAGAAAATATTTTATGAACAACTTCTGCTGTTCGGTTAATATATTAAAATTAGTAAAAAAACTAAAATTTATAATTTATAAGACTAAAAATATTTAGAATTATTGAGACAAAATGCAGTGTAAACCAAAATTTTGTCTCCCTCCTAGAATTCAGTAGTTGTAGAGTACCTTATACAGAGAACAAAAGAATGATGTAGAAAAATCAGCTTTTCATTGGCAAAATCAAAAAACTATAAAATAACAACTTCTGAAAAATGCCTCTAAACTACAGTAAATTTTTTCAAAAATAACTTTTAGAAAATATTTTATGAACAACTTCTGCTGTTCGGTTAATATATTAAAATTAGTAAAAAAACTAAAATTTATAATTTATAAGACTAAAAATATTTAGAATTATTGAGACAAAATGCAGTGTAAACCAAAATTTTGTCTCCCTCCTAGAATTCAGTAGTTGTAGAGTACCTTATACAGAGAACAAAAGAATGATGTAGAAAAATCAGCTTTTCATTGGCAAAATCAAAAAACTATAAAATAACAACTTCTGAAAAATGCCTCTAAACTACAGTAAATTTTTTCAAAAATAACTTTTAGAAAATATTTTATGAACAACTTCTGCTGTTCGGTTAATATATTAAAATTAGTAAAAAAACTAAAATTTATAATTTATAAGACTAAAAATATTTAGAATTATTGAGACAAAATGCAGTGTAAACCAAAATTTTGTCTCCCTCCTAGAATTCAGTAGTTGTAGAGTACCTTATACAGAGAACAAAAGAATGATGTAGAAAAATCACATTTTTGTTGGCACAATAAAAAACTACAGAATACAATCTCTAAAGAATTGCCTAAAAACTAAACTAAAACAACCCTTAAGCCTTCAGGCTCTATTTGATTTTGAAAAATAACTTACCATTAGAAAAAATTTGTGTGAAAAATAATTTGGGGTCCCTAAATTATATCGAAATTAACACATAGGCCTTTCTACTTTCAAGAACTAACTTCGAAGTCCACAACTTTTGCTTCCGTCCCAATCTTAGATCCTTCCATCCAAAAATTAAGGTTTTTTTTCTGTTAATTGCCACGGGAAAATATAAATATGGGTTCTTAAAATATATTGAAATTTAACACTTAAATCTCACTACTTTGAAAAAAAAAAAAATTACTATCAGTGAATAAAAAAAATCTCTAAAATCTTCAAGAATCCCAAAAAATAGTTAATAAAAAAATGGTTAAAAATGGTGAAGCACATAAATGGTAATAAAAGAAATCCCTAAAATCTATGAGAATTCATCAAGAATAGACTTTAATTCAAAAATTATTGTAAATAGTTATTTTTTGAAAGTAGTGGGACTTAAGTGTTAACTTCGATATAATTTAGGTATCCATTTATATTTTTCCTTACATTTAGATAGAAAAGATAAACTTTTTGGACGAGATAGGAACGAAAGCAAAAATTGAGGACCTCAAAATTAATTCTTGCAAATTGCAAAACTTATGTGTCAAATCTCAATATAATTTTAAGGACCTTGGATTATTTTTCCCAGTATTTTTCAAGGAAAACATTTTCCTTGGAAAATATTCCTAAACAACTTATTTTCTATTGTTTGGTTGTAATATTAAGATTAGCAAAAAATATATTGAGATCTAAAATTTATAAGACTACAAAAATATTTAGAATTATAGAGATTTCATATTTTCTGGTGACCAGTGGTGGTGGCTAGTTGTGGCCCGTGACTGATAGTGGCTGTCAATGACTGATGACGATTAGCAATGATTGACAATGGCGACTACCATGATCAATAGATTAATATATGTGTGTATGTGTTTATAAAGTTCTAATAAGTTTGTCAATATCCAAAAAATATTTTCCTGTTTTGAAAAAGGAAAATCATTTTCTTTTGAAATGATTTAATTTTTTTCCTTTGACCAGAAAAATATTTTTTGTTGACTAACGTTTTTGAGCACTCCAAACATCAAAAAGATTTGGAAAGTATTTTGCAAATAAATTATTTTCCAGAAACAAATGGAGCCTAAATGTTCAAAACAGTTCCATATAGAAACACACCCAAAAAATTACTTTACTTCTATTTTATTGTTGGGTGGGTGGCAATTAAAATACAAACTAACCTCATATTTTGAACAATGCACCCATCTTGAAAGAGTAGCCCATCTACAGTCAAGAAAAAAATTAGTAATTAGGTTTTATTCTTTTTATGGAGGAAAAATTTGACGTCCCATGTGCTTTATATCCATGTTCAACAAAATTCACTAACTAGGAAAAGAGGTATGCTTAGCCATGCATATTCTACAAATCAAACAAAAAACATAATTAACTTGACTAAGCAAAAAGATGATACTTGTCAGAAACTATAACTTCCAGTCTATTTGTTAGTTGATATCTCCTCTATTTAGTTTATAGCAAACCAATAGCAAACAACCTGCGAGGATCATATATGGTCACAGAACGATCAGCTCCTCCCACTGCGATATTACCAGTAGAGGAACTGCAGACAGCATAGAAATTATCACCAAGAGAACCACAAATTCGATGTAGGCAGCCACCATTTTCTTTCATTCTCAAATCCCATATACTCAGCTGCAGTGATCCCACAAGATAAAGTGGAACAATTTTTGTTTAGCAAACAATGAGGAACTATGCAAATATAGAAGTACACAAACTTCTACCTGGCAGCCCTCAGTGATGGCTAAAATTGAACTTTCATCCCCATGACTTAAATTTTGTAAGAAGCTCAATGATGTTGGATACCAGAGTCTGCAAAAGAGACACATAATTATAGATAATTAATTATCAAATCCAGAATTATTAAGTTCATCCCATCTATTTTACAGATATCTCCATATAAATATTCAACAGGACACTGGTAAAGCTCCTGCAGATCTTGCTACATCTTTACGGTTATAATACCAATGAAAAATGGGAGGCACATCAAAGGGTTCAAGTGCAAGTTTATTAGCATATGCTGGGTAATTTTAAGCAAGTTTGGCTCTAACCAATTATGGTGGAGCAAAAGATCCAAGTTGTTGCAGCTAATTTGGGACTGACACTAGGTCAAGTTGAATTTTGACAGTTGATTAGAATTAGACCATACAGCAGGCCTTCAGCTGTTACCGGCTGCAGCTCCAAAATAAAATTGCATGTGTGCATGGGTGTTTATGTAAGGAGTGGATACTGACGTAGAGGTATACACGCAAATGAATGCAGCATTTTACCTGAAATAACAACACATGCCTAGTGTCTACCAGCCCAGATCACAACCGTGTGTGCGTGTGTGTGTGTGTGTGTGTGTGAAGCAACCAGAAAGGAGAAAAAATAATAAGCAAGCATACACAACACTTACGTACGTAAAGTTTGCAGGTGGATATCTTGGTCATAAACATCAATGCTTTTGCAAAAGCTACGTGCTACAGCTGCCTGGACCAAAGCAAATTTAAGAAAGAAAAAAAATAGCATAGGAGAGGAAAAATTTTCATATTCATGAAAAAGGGGCTCAAGAGAAAGAAATAGATATGATAAAGCACTTCAGATGCCACTAACAAAATTTTTCCGATGATGTCCATAAATGCATCTTTGGTAAATGATGAAATAGAGGCCCAATTAAGTTCAGTCATAATTTGCAAAGAATTTCATAGCCATACCCCAATACCCATACAATCAACCAAAATCTTCAAGCATTTCATTATTAAGTGCAACTAGACTAAATTTATTGTGAAGGGTGGCTCATTAAACTATTTAGAAGATCCTGTTACCACTGCTTCAAATGAACATTAACAATGCACAAACAGTGTAATACAAGCAACAAAGAAACTTGTAGATGGTTATTGACTAGCACAGCTCAAAGATATTACCATCAAGTTCATCATTTCGTCTGCGATTAATGATTCACTAGTTTACATTCGATAGTTACAGCGTCTTGCTAATTCAATTATCTAGATCTGAAAGATATTGGCAAGCACTAGACTGAATACTTATGAGTTCAAATTGGTTTGGAAAAAAAAACATTACTTACAATTGACCATTGGGTTGGACTGAAACAGAGCCCTGCCCAACTCCCTTCTCCAACACCTGAATCCTGTGGCAGTACTGAATATGTAAGCCTGTCAATGTCTGAAATTTCAGAAGACACGTTACTAAGGCATCTCCACCATTGGAAACTAAAACCGCAAAAAGATGAAACACAAAACAATATAGAACAATAAGTATATTAATAGTTTTAGTTACTATGCAGAGAGGATAGCCCCTCCCTCACAGCGCATTCTATAAGAACTTCCTATTGCTAAGCCACACATGAAGGGGGAAGATTTTGATCGTTTTCTTTATAGGCCTTAGCCCTATAGCTTCGGGCGGTTATGGAATATATACTAACCAAACAACAAGTTGGTTCCCCAGAGCCAGACTACCAAAATATCTATTAAATAGATGTCACTATTGGAAAAGAAATTATCAAATCTTCCAAGGCCTAAAACACAAAAAGCACATATATACTGTTCTCATGAACTTCCGATATCATTGTAGATTACATAAGCAATAAACCTAAAATGGCAAGCTTTGTAACAATCTAGGCATGTGACCAATAGACTAGACACAAATTACCCAAGCATGCTATCTTAAACACAGCAATGAAAAACAAGACACAGGATGAGTAAACACAACAGACACCTTAGTTCATTCTGATACAGAATAGGGTGGAAGGCCAGAAACAACTTTTAAAGTAACAAAAGTTCATGGCTGTATTTAGAGCTGATGGTCCCAAAAACTAAAAGACTTTGGTCCAGGTATCAATTATGGTCTTTTTCTTTTTGTGTATCAATTATACAAGCCTACTTCAAAATTTGTGTCAAGCATGACCAATTTAAAGGAAGCATGTGCTAAAACATCCTAGATACTGAATAGACTATTTTATGCATGAAATAACACGAGAAACAGAGAGTGCAAAAAAAAAACTTCCTTTTCCTTTCTAAGCAATTTTTTGCACATTAAGTAGTATTGGAAAAATTCTGAATAATTATTATAATACGCTCAAAATGTAATGTCATTAATCTTCTTTTATATGTTATTCATAAATTTTATTATACGTTAATGCTTAGGGTACTTCGACACACATAATTTTCGATCAACCATAGTTGATACCAATAATGATAAATGAAGCAGGTGCATATAACTGATAGGGGAAAACATTGGTTACTAATTAATTCTTGGAACAGGGTTCTAGGTCTTTTGGGTCATTAACTCAGATATTTATTATTGTTTCGTTTGACTCTTTTCATTTTGAAAGCATTGAGTATCACTACAACATGGTCCCAACTGCCTGCATTCACCATCAATAGCCTATCAACTAAAGCTGCCAAGAAGCAAAACTATAACTTGATTTACTTCGAAGGGCTTTATACTAGAGTTTAAATTTCAAGGAGAAATAAACCTTAAACTCTGGTTATTAATTAAATTATCACAAAAAATATATATACAAAAAAAAAAAAAAAAAAAAAAAAAAAAAAAAAAAAAAATTGATTCACAAAAAAATATATATACAAAGAAAAAAAAAAAAAAAAAAAAAAATAAAAAAAAAAAAAAAAACAACAACAACACAAAGGATTGAATTGATTTAAAGTTCAACATGGATAGGAAATCTAAAAAAAGAGGAAGAGTACCATTTAACCACCTAACTATTCTAGAGAGACTATGAGATGACCCATAACTATCAACCACTTCCCAATACCATAGAGTAACCAGGACTGCAGATAAGTGGTGTGTGAAACCATATAACTTCAAAAAAATATCATACATACAAAGTATAAAGTCTAGGAGAAAGGTATTAAGTGCTGCTTAATATAAACAACAAATCACTTTACTTTCAGTTTTTCAACAAAGCACTAGCGTCTGATCTCTGCCGAAGGAGGCAGCGTAACTACTGACGAGTCCTGACCTTTAAAAAGTAAAAATTACATGACCACAGAAACACATACTAACTGAATGATTCAACCAACTAAGTTGGTAAAGCCAAGCACTGGCGAGACATACTTTTAACAAATTGACAAATAATCAACTGCTTTAAATCATAACAACAGATACCTGGTGCTTGTATGGGGATGAGGAGGGCTTTCGTTTGCCCTTTGGCTGATTGTAGAAGAATCTTTGCAATGGAATCAGTATGAAAAAGAATAAAATAATAAAAAAAAAAAAAAAAAAAAAAAAAAAACAGTTTTAGACTGGCACACATAAAAGGTCTGAACCATGACCAAACCTTTTAGCAAAGTCTAGAGTCAGTGCCTGAATAATAATCTGGGCTTTTTCTGATTGTGCAAGTGACAGTTTGAAAAATGTGAGAAAAAAAAAAAGAATTATATTTAAGGAGATTTAAATTACAAAATCAGAAGAAGAAATGCACGATGAATGTCCAAGAATTGTAGTGCCCCAGTGGTCCAAAAAGATATTAAGAAAAATTACTACTATAATGGAGAAAAGAAAATGATCTCTCTCTTT